AAAAAAAAAAAAAAAAAAAAAAAAAAAAAAAAAAAAAAAAAAAAAAAAATATTCCATTCCACTACAGCATGGCATCCTCCACAATATCCGATTCCACGGAATCAAAAAATACAAGAAAAGTGGAAGACCCAAATTAGCCTTTTTATTTATTTATTTTTTTTTTTTTTTAAAGCTCCAAAATCCAAACCTATTTCTCACTAGATAAGAATCACCTTTATTTCGGGTTTCATTTGAGGGTTATCACGAGCACAAGAACCGGTAGAATTCGAACATCTAATTTTCTAGTCGAACTAGTTGAGTCATGCTCAAATTTTCAAGCACAACACAATAAAATTTGAAAACAATTCAAGAAATTCTAGAAAAAAAAACCCTATTGGTTGAAAAGAAACAAGAAAATAACAACATCAAATAAATTTTCTACACAGAAAACTCGATCCCTGCCAATTCTCCATCGAAATCTCTCTCGAACCCCACAAAACCAAACGTAAAATTTTACCGAGTTTCAAACCCCAAGCATGGAGCGTGCGTAACCGGGGCCCACACGGGTGGGGTCTCTTTGTTCTTAAGTGAACCTAAAGGAGTAATTTTTAGGTGGGTTTATGGGGATTTTAGGCAGCAAAAAGGTGGAGCAAAGTTTCATGACTCTCTTTGACAGATCAAAACTCGAAACAGCAATCATATTGTTCATGGGTATTTGAGTTTCTTCCTCTCTTTCTCACCTTGGTCTAAGAGCCCCTCGCCTTCCGCTTCCAAAACCGCCGCTCTCTGCCTTATACGCTTACCTTACCTGTGATTTCCGTTTCAAAACCCACCCAAAATTTTGAAACTTGCAACTTTGAACCATCTCTACATCAGTTTTCAAATGCCATCCATATCCAGGTCTGGGGTGTGGCCCTGTCTGGGTTCTAGTCAAGTCCACAAACCAGTGTCCAAACAGCCGCTTTCTGATACATGCCTTCCCAAACAAGCCCTTTAAAAAAGGCTCCCCACTCCATCTGGGTTCGTCTTTGTAGGTGAGGAGACAGACAGAGGATCTCGCCTCTTTTAACTGCCCTTCATTAGTGTCCTGTAATTAGCAACTATTAATACAATTAGATGAAGTTAATTATGGATAAGGACACTTAAGTATTACTTTGACTGTAATGAAGCATATAATGTGTTGAGGGGAATAATATTGGTACTGGCAGAGAGGGTACATTGGGTATTAATTATCTTTTGGAATAAAGTCAGGGTTGACAGCTGAAGAATATGGAGGATTCCTCTATCCTTATGTATTGCCTTTTCTCTCTTTCTTGTTGTTTTACTTTATGCCCATCTTTCTTCAGTAAATGGCCCTTAAGGACACCACAGACACTAACAGTTTTGTTCTAAAGAAAGAGAAAGAACAAGACAACAAAACAACAAAACCCATTTAAAACTAGAAGATTTTGAAATTTGAATCTGTATGTAAAGAGACCCCACTGTATGATATGTATTATCCATACATAATTCTAGGAAGAGATCGAAAAAACGGGAAAAAACGAGAACTTTTATGTAATAGCTCGAGCCCACTACGAGCATATATTGTTCTCTTTGGACTTCCCCTTGAGGTTTTAAAACACGTCTGGTAAGGAGAGGTTTTCACACCCTTATAAGGAATGTTACGTTCTCCTCTCCAACCAATGTGGGATCTCACAATCCACCACCCGATGTCTGGTTTTGATACCATTTGTATCACCCAAACCCACCACTAGCAAATATTGTCCACTTTGAGTTTTCTCTTCCAGGTTTCTTCTTAAGGTTTTAAAATGTGTCCACTAGGGAAAAGTCTCCACACTCTTATAAGGAATGTTTCGTTTCCCTCTCCAACCGATGTGGGATTTCACAATCCACCCCCTTGGGGGACCAGCATCCTCGTTGGCACACCGCCCCGTGTCTAGTTTTGATATCATTTGTAATAGCACAAGCCCACCGCTAACAGATATTAGTTTGGGTTTTCCCTTTCAGGTTTTCCCTTTCAGGCTTTCCCTCAAGTTTTTAAGATGCGTCCACTAGGGAAAAGTTTCCACACCCTAAATGTTTTGTCAATGTGGGATCTCACAATCCACCCCCTCGAGGGCCCAGCATCCTCAGTGGCACATCGCCTAGTGTTTGGCTCTGATACCATTTGTAACAACCCAAACCCACTGTTAGTAGATATTGTCCTCTTTGGGCTTTCCCATCCAGGCTTCCTCTCAAGGTTTTAAAACGCATCCACTAAGGAAAGGTTTCCACGCCCTTATAAGGAATGCTTCGTTCCCCTCTCCAACCGATATGGGATCTCACATTTTAAATACAAGGCATTATTTTTCAGTTCAACAAGTAAAAGTGAAAAAATTCGAATATCTGACCTTTTGGTTGAGAGCATGTGCTTAAATTATTGAGCTATGCTTGAGTAGGAGACGAGAACGCATTCTTGAAAAATGTAAACTTTTCTTTATTCTGCATCTATATAAAACAGTACCCAGCAAAGTGGCCAGGGTCAATCTCTGTATTACTTGTCGCTGCCATGGAAGTTGGGATTTAGTGCCATCTCGATCTCCTCCAAAGACCTCCCTTTAGTTTCCACTAAGAAGTACTTGGAAAATATGGCTGCCACCAAGGAGAATGCACCAAAGCTAGCATAAACTGGAGCAACTCCAAATGTCTGGACCAAGTCGAGAAAGAACAGACCCACTGAGAAATTGCATACCTGGGCATAGAGTATGATTTGAAGAAACAACATGTTAATATAGCAGCATGAAAAACAATCGTCGAAGTTTATATGAAAGATGGCCCGTTACGTATCAACGTCAGCCTTATAGTTTTAAAACGCGTCTACTAGGGAAAGGTTTCCACACCCTTATAAGGAATGTTTTGTTCCTCTCTCCAACTGATGTGGGATCTCACAATCCACCCCCTTGGGGGCCCAGCGTCCTCACTAGTACACCACCCAGTGTCTGGCTCTGATACCATTTGTAACAGTCCAAGCCCACCACTAGCAGATACTATCCGCTTTGGCTCGTTACGTATCGTCATCAGTTTCACGGTTTTGAAACGCATCTACTAGAGAAAGGTTTTCACACTCTTATAAGGAATGTTTCGTTCCTCTCTCCAACCAATGTTGTAGTATTGATTCTGCTAATAATAGGTTGTTCTGCTTGCTTACCCAGTGAACTGCAAGGCTGAATCCCATGATCTTACCACGCGCTCGGTTGCTGCTAAGCTCGGGTATAATTATACCCGTCACTGGACCGGCTCCGATTGCGAAGGAAAAGATATAACTATGGAAATGAGAAAACAAAAACACCCCAGTCAAGAAATCCTCTGAAACCAGTACATTTTCAACAAATTTTGTCGATTTTTTTTTAAAAAAAGATGATAGTCTATGAATGAGTTTGCAATAAATAGTGCAGAATTTCGTCTCTATCGTGAATAAAGAGTGAGCAAATACTTACGCAATAGTTCCTACGATCGATAAGTTGTGACTCAGTTCTTCATCAAGCTGGAAACTAATGGTAGAGACAATAAGCAACATTGAAACTGCCTGCACAGAGGTGAAAATTTAAGAGTATTACTGGACGTGTAATAAAAGTAGGTATTATTCTCTTTGAATTTTCTCTCCCGGACTTCCCTTCATGGTTTTAAAACGCGTTCATTAAAGAGAGGTTTCCACACCCTTATAAGAAATGCTTTGTTCCCCTCTCCAACTGATGTGGGATCTCTCAATCCACCCCCTTGGAGACCTAGCATCCTCGCTGACACACTGTCCGATATTTGGCTTTGATACCAACGGCCCAAGACCACTGCTAGCAAATAGGGCTTTCTCTCAAGGTTTTAAAACATGTCTACTAGGGAGAGGTTTTCACACCCTTATAAGGAATGTTTCGTTCTTTTCTCCAACCGATGTGGGATCTCACAATCCACTACCCTTGAAGACCCAGCGTCCTCGCTGGCACACCACTCGGTGTCTGGCTCTGATACCATTTGTAACAACCCAAGCCCACTGCTAGCAAATATTAACTTCTTGGGGCATTTCCTTTCGGGCTTTCTCTCAAAGTTTTAAAACACATCTATTAAGGAGAGGTTTCCACACTTTTATAAGGAATGCTTCGTTCCCCTCTAACCAATGTGGGATATCACAAGATGTGTACCGTCTTGCCTTGAAATACCTCTGTCATTAAACTCACCATTCCCAAATAGCTTCCAATTAAAAGCCTCTGCCTCCCTTGCTTATCCATCAAGTACAACGCACAGAGAGCACCTGTTGACTCCCAGACTAACGAATGAGTACATTTTGCATACAGATAAGTTCATCAAATAAAGAAAATTTTGCGTACCAGCGAAGTTGGTAATTCCAATAACTAAACTTGCTAAAGCACCATTTGTGATTCCAACGTCTTGAAAGGTTAACGAAGAAAAATAAAGAACTCCATTTATGCCAGCAAACTGTTGAAGGAAGAAAAGGGCACCTCCAATGCATGCCACTGTAATTAACCAAAGAAATGAGAAGGTCATATGAAGTACAATTGCATTGTTAAACCGAATAATTAGACCTTTTAACTAAACAAGCCCACCGCTAGCAGATATTGTCCGTTTTGACCCGTTACGTATCGCCGTCAGCCTCACGGTTTTAAAACGTGTCTGCTAGGGAAAGGTTTCCATACCCTTATAAGGAGTGTTTCGTTCTCCTCTCCAACTGATGTGGGATCTCACAATCCACCCACTTGGGGGCCCAGCGTCCTTGCTAGCACACCGCTCGGTGTCTGGCTTTGATACCATTTATAACAACCCAAGTCCACCGCTAGCAGATATTGTCCGCTTTGACCCATTACGTAGCGCCGTCAGTCTCACAGTTTTAAAACACGTCTTCTTAGGAGAGGTTTTCATACCCTTGTAAGAAGGCAATCATTCATAAAGGGTAATGCATACTCTTGTCAAGACTTTTGGAACAAAGACATGAGATAGGGTTTATCACATGAAATTCTAAACGAATTAAAAAGGATCACCCGATACCTCTAAAGTTCGGTTCCTCGAGAAGCTCCGACCATTCACTGTTCAAATCACTTCCATCGTTCCTTATAACGGACTGGAACTCTTCAACAGCTCTTTCAACTTCAGATTCTCCCCATAGGTTGCTAATAACAACTCTGCTTTCATCAACTCGTCCAGCCTAGAACACCATATGGAACCTCTAAAGAAGCTGCTGACAAAATCATGTTGTCTTTAAAAAACGTGAAGTCCTACCTTGCTTAGCCAGCGTGGACTCTCAACTGCAAACTGCATGCCAAATGCAATAAAGAATCCCGGAAGACTTGCAATATAGAGCATTGTTCTCCACCTGAAAGGAAGCCAGCCAAGCCATGTTAAAGTTTATCAGAAATTGCAGCAAGAATTTAAGCTCTGAAGTAAGAAACAATCAACGTAACAGCCCAAAACAGCGGTAGATATTGTTCTCTATAGACTTTCCCTTCCAGGCTTCCCCTCAGAGTTTTAAAACCGTCTACTAGGGAGACGTTTCCAAACCCGTATAAGGAATCTTTCGTTCCCCTCTCCAACCAATGTAGGATCTCACAATCCACCCCTTTTGGGAGGCCCAGCGTCCACACTGGCACACCACTTGATGTCTGGCTCTGATATCATTTGTAACAACCCAAGCCCACCACCAGTAGATATTGTTCGCTTTGGCCCCTTACGTATCGTCATCAGCCTCATGGTTTTCAATCACGTCCACTAAGGGAGAGGTTTCCACATCCTTATAAGGAATGCTTCGTTTCCTCTCTAACCAATGTGAGATCTCACAATCAAGAAAAGAGAGGAAAGCGCACACACCAATGTGGATCGCCCTCAGATGGAATTCCCAGAAACAGAGAAGCAATAATTCCAAGACACGTTCCAATCTGACATAGGCCCCCAAGTGTTCCCCTATACTTTGTTGGAGCAACCTACACGATCAACAATCAAAATCAGGCATAACGCCTTCAACCTCGATGGTCACGTTTACAAAATTTGCAACACTCAGTCCACTTTTTGAGGCTATGCCTCATTCAAATATAACAGTACAAAGCATATTGGTTGAAACACCATTTGAATTTGCATTAGTTCAAGCATTTTCATCAACACCACAATCTGAACTTGAAGAGAGAGAGCTTAGAAGAAATGCAGTACCTCAGAAATAAATATTGGAACAAGTACTGTATTAACTCCAATGCCAAGGCCAACAAGAAATCTCCCCCAAAGTATTTCATCCAACGTATGCGCTTGAGCACTGACACGAACACGGCGGGTCAAACAGTGATAATCAGCTAAAGAAAACACTGTCAGTAGACATTCAACAGAGAACCAAATACCTCAACAGCCCACCAACAATCAATGGTATTGTGGCAATTTGAAAAGTACGCCTAAAGCCTAGTTTATCAAGCAGCGAACCAGAGCTTATACTTCCAAGAAATGCACCAACAATAAAAATGCTCACAACAAGTCCCTCAAGGATTGGGTTACCATCAAAGCCAAGTTCTCGAGCAACAGAAATAATAGGACCATTCATTACTCTGCAAAATATGGTGTAAATAGCTTGAACTCAACAGATTGATAGAAACAAACAAATTTGATCATGAATTTGGGTTCCCAAGACTTGAGTCAGATGATTCTATGTAGAGATTAGGAGAATACAGTAATTGATAGCACAGAGGGGTTACCCTATGTGGTAACCGAAAAGAAAATTAGACATGGAAGCAACCAGAACATGAGGAAAAGCAGGCAGCCATCCTATATCAAGGCCATCGCTATCCTCTGCTCGCACAGAAACACCTTCGCTCTCTGCCAAAATTCAACGAGCTAAGAATCGAATAGCAACATACCTAATAGCTTAGTGGAAACTCAAGGGATCAAAATGTCGAACCTGATTTTCCGTTCTTCAGCTCCGGCAACTGTTTATTCGCGGCCAATACCTGGAACTTCTTAGCCGGATGAAACACAGCGCGCAAACCGGAACGTGAAGGAAATGATCTATGTCTGCATAGAGTGCAGGACGGAGGTATGGATCGCCGACCAACGGCGCTGATCGGCGGCGGTGGGACCGGGAGACGAAGAACGGGAATGGCCCTCATGAAACGAAAACCAAGAAACCGAGGGAGTTCTGGTTTACAAGTACAGAAACACCCACATCACGGATTTAACCAAATTGGTGGCTCCATCCATTTTCATGATATTTGTTCGAGAAGAAGCCATCCAGAAAAGGACCCACTCAAAGAAAAGTCCATCTGTGGGCACGTGTTTGATGGGGATTGACGACGAAAACGGAGACTAATGGAGGATGATTTTGACTCGAACAGCACACGTCGGGAAAATCGGAGGTGATGCTTAAAGACGGTGGTGGGAGGAAACCAGACGAGATGTTGCTCATAGATTATTATAGGAGAAAATTAGACCGCCGAGGAATGGTCATTTTACAGAATAAAACCCGCGAACCTTGCAGGACCCAACTATACGCATATGGAAACGACATTAATTTTTTTTTTAAAAGATTTGTCATCATCTTTAAACTTTTGTTGTTCTAAACAATGTACAGATAATCATATGTTCTCGAGAATACAGGAAGAAAATCATTCCAAGTAGAAGATGAACAAAAAATATTGTCAAGACCAAAATTTTAAGGGGGAAAAAAGTGTTTTTAACCTTCGTTATAGCAGACACATGAAGACCTAGCTGATGCAACGGTTTACTCAACTGTCACACTCGGTGTAACGCAGTAGATAAGACATTAACTACTGGATATTTTTTGCTACATTGAGAAAATTGGCTTGTTTTACAGATTCAGTCTCAGCTTTTCAGAGGTCATATGAAGAATCAGGAGTTGAATCCTCAATAATCTTAGCATCTTTGATCATCAGTACAAAAAAGTTGAGAGCAAAGAGGCCCCATAGAGGTTTGTCTACGAAAGACAGAATGAATGAAAGCTTTCAAAGCTCCTCATATGTTGATAAGAATAGTAACTTCTAACATTAACCGTAATCTGCCGATAAAATTGGAAAGAACTAAATTTCCTGTTCGAATCTACACAAACAGAGACACAAAACTAAAAAAAAAAATACCATTTGAAGCAAGCTAGTCATGATTCAAAGTTAACTATACACAGTGCGTTCCGGGGACTGCATCATTCATTTGAAACGGGTTCTGAAGTTTCTGGAGCTTTCCTATTTGCGAATGATTCCCTCAGCGTTTTCACTTCATTTCCAAAATCTAGCAGCCTACTATCCAATGAACTAACCTGCTGCAGATGAGCATGAAATACATCAACGAACTTATCTTCCAAGGCTTTGAACTTCTTTTCAATAACTAAGCGGTTTAGTCTATCTTCCTCTGCCTGCTTCAAACGGATCCTTTCCAGTTCCATGGTGCTCAGAACAAGACCACCAGAACCAGCAACATCTTTGTAGAGTGGTTCATCAGGTTGCGGGCACCGGGATCTATACTCTGCAAATGCTTTGTGTGTTTCCCTCATTGCCTTTCTGTAGCCGTCCAGTAGATTTCCCATCACATAGAGCTCGCGCTCAAGTCGGTAAATATCAGACTGCATCTTCTGTTGCTCCTCAAACTTTGTCTTTCTCAAATGTTCAATGAAGGTCTCTCTCTGCTGCAGCTCGTGAAGCAAGTATTGCTGATTCATTGTGGCCTGCTGATGAACCTGTTCTTTCTCTGCGTACATTATCCTGGCTTTATCGAGCCACTGTTGTACGTTATCCATACACTTGTCATAGTCAAGAGGACCTTCGCTCCTTAACCTCTTGTTCCCGCCATTAAGGGACTGAGCTGGGTTGTCAATATCGGGGTCAATCACTCTCTTGTTGCTATTAACAAAAGGCATGCATCCACCAGAACTCATTCTGCTATCATCTCTGGGTGGAAGAAATTCAACAGGTGAATGATCACGCAATTCAAATTCTGAGTTAAAATTAATTGGCTCTGTCTCCATTTCTTGAATAAAATGGCTTGAAGGAAATCCATCAATTGGATTGCTCCTTGGTAACAGGCGGAACTCGCCTTCCTGATCTTCCTCCTCCTCTTCTTCTTCTTCCTCCACTTCCTCCTCCTCTTCTTCTTCTTCCTCCACTTCCTCCTCCTCTTCTTTTCCTTGACCATCCCCTTCTTCTAATTCTGCTTTCTTATCATCCCCAAAATCAAATTCCTTGAATTCATTCGTATTACACCTCCTGAACAGAAGCTCCGGGGTGCTACCTTTTCGATCAAAAAGCCATTGACCTTGTTGTTGTTGCTGTTCTTCTTCTTCTTCTTCTTCTTCTTCTTTGCTTTCCACTAAATCCATCATATCCCCAATATTATCCTTCTCCTTTTGAATATCGACTTTCTCGACATTGTCCTGCCCAAGGCACAATTCAATATTTTGTTCCTCCAATTTCTTAGACATAGAGTCATCATTCCCCACTATCTTTAGACTGTCATTACAAGCCCCATCTTCATCATCCTGTTCTTTGTCCTGTTCTTGTTCTTGCTCTTGCTCTTGTTCTTGCTCTCGCTCATGCTCGTGCTCGTGCTCATGCTCATGCTCATGCTCATGCTCATGCTCTTGCTCTTGCTCTTGCTCTTGCTCTAGCTCTTGCTCTTGCTCTTGCTCTTGCTCATGCTCATGCTCTTGCTCTTGCTCTTGCTCCTGCTCCTGCTCCTGCTCAGGTTCCTGTTCCACCTCCTCCTTGTGTTCGACCTCTTCTACCTTAGGCGCTTCTTCCTTCAATAAATCCTCCCGTTGTGCTCGGATCAGACACTGCAAATGTGAAGCATAGTAACAATTCACCAATTGCGGAGATTGCATCAACTCCTTCTCCACCATAAACCAAATCAAACCAGCCCAATCAACCCGCTCAAAGCTCCCATCCTTGATGGCCTTTGTCCAATTCATTATCTCATTGGGCATCATCCACGTATCTTCGTGTAAGAGTAACCAGTTGGACACAAAATCCTCAATAAAAGCGATCGATTCCTCTGATGCTATGGGATCTTCCTCACCATCCTCTAGTACCGCCGCTTTCTTCACCGGCAACCCCAAGGCACGAGCCAAATCAGCCCGATTGACCCTGATTCTATTTCCATTGACATAACTACACCTCTGGTTGTTGCTAAAATTCGCAACTAATTGCAAAAGAAGGTCATATCGCAGAGACCTATCAAATTTAGTATGAACGAAATCCCACAAGCCCAATCGCTTCAAAAGCCTCTCGTGACTCGAGAAATCCAGATTTTTAGCAGGCACGAAGGGAATAGGTTTAAAAGTATCAACCAGAATCTCGAGCTTCTTCTGAGATTTCTCCTGAAAGAATCTTCGTTTCATCCAAGACTTCTTCCGCTTCGGAGCCCGTCGAGAAGCAGCAGAAGAAGAAACAAACGCGTTGACATCCGCGATTCGAGGAGAGAGCGCAGTAGACTCACCTTGGTCGCTAGGATCATGATCATTGATGAAATTTTCATTGGGTTGGAGCTCCGAATCTTGCGGGTCTGCCTGAGGGGAGTTCTGTTGTGGATCGGACAATTCTAGGGTTAGGGTTTCAGAAGTTTGAGGCGGATCGGACTGCCTCTGTTCTTCTTCTACCGCTCCTTCTCCTCCTTCTTCCGGTTGTTGCAAGTCCGTGGAATTAGGGTTTTGAGCAGGAGACATTGGATCTTCTTCTTCTTGGTGTTCGGCATGAGGATGCAGAGGAGAAAGAGCGGGAATCGCCATGGGAATTGATCTAGAAAAGAGGTAAATTCCGATCAACTCGAGACTCGAGGTCAATACACTCTGACACAACGGAACTGAATTATTCGCTTAGATTAAGTCTCTCCACTCCAAAACGACGTAGTTCGCATTCCGTCTCCTTTATAGTGTACGCAATTGAATCCTTTTGTGGAAATTCGAAGTATATTGTTTATGGAAAATATTATTTTCCATTCACGGAAATTTTTAAAATTTTAGCTCAACTTTCACAATTTTAATTTTAATTTTCAATTTCGACTAATTTTTTAAATATTATTTTAATTACAAATTTTAAAAGGTATTAAATACTATATTAAAATTTTAAAAATAATTTTATAAGTTCATAATTCAAATATATACGAACCTAAAAATATATGGTCTACCTAGCAACGTCATAAAAAAATTATCGAAAACTTATTTATAAATAAGTTGAAAATAATTACTGAACACATGGGTGATAAATCGCTCGAGTTAGATAAGAGTCACAACTGTCCATGTAACACTCTAAACCCATTGCTAGTAGATATTGTTCGTTTTGGTCCGTTATGTATATTTGTCACAATATCTACTAGTGGTGGGCCAAACACCAGCTCGTGTCTCAACGAGAACGCTAAGCTCTCAAGAGGTGAATTGTGAGATCCCACATTGATTAGAGCGGAATGAACTATTCATTACAAGAGTGTGGAAACATCTCCATACTCGACGCATAATTGGGAAGTCCATAAGAGGAAATTCAAAATTCTATATTTGCTTGCGTTACCTATATGCATTATTTTATACATTTAATTAAGTCATATAAGTTATAATTTGTAATTTTTTTATGTTCCTTTTGTTGGTACAATAAGGCAACATAAAAAAAAATTATAAATTAAAATTTCGACAAAAAAAAAATATATATATATTAAATTAAGTGTGGAATGTTGCATTTTTTTACTGCCCAGTTAAAATCTTCCTAAAAAATTAATTATTTGAATTACCGCCTCTCCCTTCGTGGAGTTCAAGAAGTATTTTGCAATAAAACGACGACGATTTGAATTTGGGATGACTGGGCTTGGGCTTGTGGTGGGTATTGGGCTTGGGCTTGGGCTTGGAGTGGGTATTGGGTTTGGGCCTGGAGTGAGTTATTTATGCCCTACTCTCGCCGTAACCGACGGCAGCATTTAAACGGCAAATTCAATTTTCCGTAGCTTCAAAACATAATCTTCTTCCTTCTTTTTTCAAAATAATCGACGCGCACGACTTATCAAATCCCCTTCGAAAATTCATAAACCAGTCCCCGCCATTGTTCCAACTCCATCAAATCTCCACGCCGTCCACTTTACGCGCCAAAATATTCTTCCCTCCTTTCTTCACATTGGGCCGTGCGGTACACTTTCCACGGTGACGCGTAAACATTGACATCTAAGGCCATTTCTTCGCACGGGCCTTTGGATGCCGTCCTTACGCGTCATATAATACGCTGCGGGCCACGATCTTCGCATCTGCCGTACACCTGTAACGTGACGACGTCGAGAGGCGGTGGATCTTAGAGACCCGGTGGTGTTTTTCTCAAGAACAACCAGCCAGATCTGGCCGGGATTTCGGTTTCCGACCTCCAAACCCTAACGTTTGGTGCTGTTAGACGTATTTTCTTCGTTCCCGTGGCTTCTTCGGTGCAGTTTTATTGGATCCTTCGTGAATCCTAGAAATCGGTTTGTTTAATAGAGAGATATATATATTTGTTTGGTTTAATTTGGTGAACGGCGTCGGTGTTGGTGTTTAATTTATTGGAGATTTGAGTTTTTTTTGCATGTTTTGTTTGATTTTTTTTTTCGGGTGAAGGGAAACCCTAGGTACGGATAATTCGACACTCTGAGGATAAAAAGAGGGTTTTAGGGTTTTGGGTATTTTGATTATTTGTATGGCTTCAGCGCCTATAGCTGGAGGAGGAGATGATGGTAGAATTAAGCAGAGGTATTCGGAGTGTAAGGTTTACAGAAGGAAAACGTTCAAAGGTGTGAAGAGCCAGAATACGGCCAGTGCTACCGCCAGCATCACTGTGTCTACCACCACCACCGATAAGGATCCAAGCAACAGGAATGGGAAGACCATCTCCGACACGTTCAGCAACGTTAAAGACTTAAATAACAGTTCAGACCAGGCGGTGCCGCATTCAGAAGCGTCAGAAGATGCGAATCTATCTCAGCAGGAGCCTTTACCGAACGCTGCCTCTGATGCTGACGATTTGACGAGGCTTGATGGACAGACATCCGTTGGACCGACTACGGAGGCTACTCAGGACCCGCCTTCTGTTAATGGGATCAGTAGTACGGGTTTCGACGATCAGAATCGGGTCAACTGCGCATCAAAGCCAAAGCAGGAAATGCAAGAGCTTCGGCGGAAATTTGAGAGTGAGCTTGAAATTGTGAGAAATTTGGTTAAGAGGATTGAAGCCATACAGGGCCAGATAAATAGCGGGCATAGCCATTCTCACGTGTCGACAATGGATATAGCTGATAACGGTCGTGGAGCATATCATGTACATTCGGAAGTCGGTTCTGTTGGTGTTCCTACGGATGACTCCAGGCCACTACGCCAGTTAAGCATATCGGTTCTGGAGAATGGTAAAGGGGTGCATGATTTCATGGAAAGGGAGAAGAGGACCCCGAAAGCAAACCAGTTCTACAGAAATTCCGAATTCTTGCTTGCGAAAGATAAGATTCCTCCAGCTGAGAGCAATAAGAAGTCCAAATTAAATGGGAAAAAGCATAGTAGAAGAAAATTTAAACATGGTTTTGGCACAGGTTCCAAGATCTTCAATGCTTGTGTTTCTTTACTTGAGAAATTGATGAAGCACAAGCATGGTTGGGTATTTAATACTCCTGTCGATGTAGAGGGGCTTTGTTTGCACGATTATTATAGCATTATCAGACATCCAATGGACTTGGGTACTGTGAAAACGAGGCTAAACAAGAATTGGTACAAGTCTCCAAAAGAATTTGCGGAGGACGTGAGACTTACTTTCCATAATGCTATGACTTATAATCCAAGAGGACAAGATGTTCACATAATGGCTGAACAGCTGCTGAAAATATTTGAGGATAGGTGGGTTGTAATAGAATCAAACTATTATCAGGAGCTGAGGTTGGGAATGGAATTTGGGGCTACTCCATCTTCCAATTCAATAAAATCCCATCCCATAACAGTTCCTCCTCTTGACATGAGAAAGATTCTACGGAGGTCAGAGTCATTGATTAACCCAGCTGATTCCAAGACACAGCCGATGAGTGTGACTCCGTCAGCAAGGACGCCTTCACTGCAAAAACCTAAGGCAAAAGATCTCTTCAAAAGAGATATGACTTACAATGAAAAGAAAAAGCTCAGTACGAACCTTCAGAATTTACCCTCTGAGAAGCTAGATGCCATTCTACAGATCATCAAAAAGAGAAACTTTGAACTTCTCCAACAAGAAGATGAAATAGAAGTAGACATTGATACTGTTGACACTGAGACTCTGTGGGAGCTTGATAGACTTGTTACGAATTACAGGAAAAGTTTGAGCAAGAATAAAAGGAAAGCTGAACTTGCCATTTTGAAGGCTCGGGCAGAAGCCGAGCATAATGGTCAGGAGAAGGTAAGCCTTGCATATAATTTTCCAGTCATTTCTTCTCATCGAAATTATCAATTGATATTTGCTAAGTAAAGCTCTGCTTCTCTCTCGTCTAGATCCCAGCCCTTGATGGTTCGAAGTTACTCAGAGAAACTAGAGCAGGTCAGTTTGTTGATGCACAGAATTTGGTGGGTTTTGCTTTTTTAATTGTCTAGTGAACAGAGTTACTAACGTTTATGTTATTCTCATGCAGATGAAAATATTCTTTCCTCTTCATCACCCATCCGTGGGGGACAACAGCGGGATCATTCGAGCAAGTCCAGCAGCTCAAGTAGCTCTAGCAGTGATTCTGGATCTTCTTCTAGTGGTAAGTAAATCGTCTGTTTACTCGGTTGTGCTTATAATAACGTTACAACGTTCATTTTGTAGAAAACTAGTCGAAATGATATTTTTCATATGTTACCAATTTTCTTTTTCATTTTTGTGTTGCAGATTCTGATAGTGACAGCTCTTCGGGATCAGGATCTGATTCAGGATCACCAACGCATTGATTTTCTATTCTGGTAATAATTTCATGTTTACACATAATGATTGGTTTTTCTCTTTTGACTCGCAGCTATGTTTTGATTCTAAGTTTGCGTTATTTCTGGAATTTCACTTCATGTTGGTGATTTTGAATATGTAGACCTAATAAACATTTGCCTAAGGTTGGTCCTTTTATTTATTAGATTAAATTATACAAGACTTTTGAAATTTTTCATTATTATCTTTGCATTTTGAAACTTAATTCTTGTTCTTTATTAATATAAAGGGTGAAAATTGACGTGACAAATGGTTTGCTTTCAAAAGATAGCAAAATAAGTATTTACATAGATAGTAAATGATATTATGTGTGATTTTCAGTTTTTACCGCTTACACATTAGCTATGATATGAATTTATATCCTAATTTAATAAAAATGTCTCCAAGGGTCTGAACAAATTTCAAGTTCATGACACTTTTCAACCTCTAAGGGGTATTTTGTATAATTTGTTCTATGTATTATATATAGAGATCATTTATGTATATATTTCATTTCATCAACACATTGTAGATTTTTGCCAGCATTTTCAAACTTTATTTGTTTTCATTTATTAAAAGAAGGTTGAAGTACAAATTTGGCCTTTATGATTAGAGCGTACTTCAATTTGGTTCTCGTGCTCCTAAAGTTCGAATTTAGCCAATGGTTTGGGCTTTAATTTTTCACAGTTCTACTCTTGAATTTTCTTAGGTTGTTTTTGATGGATGGAAGGTAAATCGATTTCTTCTACTTCAGAAGAATTCAGATGGTGGATTTGAATCTGCAGTTGGTGTACAGTGAAAAAATATTTTGGAATGGGCCATCAGGTAATCTTTTTGATTGCGAACCAAAGGTGGTGAGCTATTAGATGCTAGTGGGTGTTTAAGAGTTAATTCTGTCATTGTAATAATTTTGTAACATATGGTAGAATTTTGGTTTGATAGATGCTTCTTGTAGTCGTCGTACAGAATATGCATATTGCTTACTTCCATTACTCGTGCAGTTCACAGCATGTGACTTTCTATTGCTTTCTCTGTTGGGTATCTTTTTTTTCTAGCAGTTGCCTATGTTCGCCTGAGAGTCTTGAACTGTCCATCTCTATGTTAATTTGTAGCTGGTTCTTTTTTAAAAAAAATAAAACCTGGCCGCACATGATAGTGTACAGAATATGTGCTTTAAATATATGTATGCATCTTTCTACTTAGGAGTTCATTCCTCTCCAAACTTCGGTTTCTTTAATTTCAGAGAATTAGCGTATAGTTATTGAAATGCGATGCAAAATATGTGTTTGCAATTATGAAATATTCTGAATGTGTCTTTCGGGGTGGGGCTGTGTGTTCTTTCATTGTCCGAAGACAAGATAGGAAGAAATTGAAAACCATGGTATATATACTACACACCCCCTTCACCTTTCCATCGCCTGGATGATTTGAACGAATTTAGAAGAGAGCATGATAGCTGTGCTCCTTACTTCATATGAAACTCCACCCTTTACACCACTGCAAGACACTTGATCTACTAAAAAGCACACAAAAGGACACACACACACACAATTTTATTCAACCTGAAACAAAAAGACAGTTCTTAACTTTCTATCAGGCTCTGTATTCCTTCCTTGTAGCAGTTTGGTAGTGCTCTTCCCTTCCGTATCCTTGGTCATTTGCCTGTCCCTCTTCCTCGCCATGTTCAAAGTCGAATGTGCTGTGTTTTCTAGTTTCATCACCATGCCCAATCACTATCTCTTTAGTTGTCTGTGCAATTTCGTATATGGTCTCCCCAATTGCCCCCAATATTCCACCATCATCATCTTTTCCCTCCGCAGCGTTCTTCTCATTTACTCTTCCTTCTCCCCTTTCCTTCACTTCTTCTCTCGCCCCTTCAAAAGTTTCCTTAGTTTTCTCATACATGGATTCTTTCTCAGCTTGCTTGTACGTAGATTCTCTCTGTGCTTCTTCTTTCTTCCTAGCTGTGTACTCCTTCACACTCTCCCCGGTTGATTCAGCAACATTCTTTGCAGCAGACAATGGCCTGGCTGCTATTGCTCCAGCCTGCTCTGCAGCTCCCTTCACGAGCCTTGCCGCTGCTTTTGTCCCCTCCACCGCCGTGTCACATGAGTAATGGGCTGTGCTCCACCCTGCAACCACCGCCTTATCCTTCAGATCCTCAGCCGCTTTGCCAGCGTATTCGGCTGCAACTTTCCCACCACCTATTGCTACATCCTTAGCCGCAACTGCCTTCTCTCCAAGGTAATGAGCTGTTGTTTGACCTACACAGACTGTAATGTCCTTGGCTTCCACGGCCTTTTGGACTGTGTAATCCTTGGCCTTCTCTGCTATTGGCACAGTGTAATCTTTTGCTGTTTTGGCTGCACTAGTTAGTGTCTCCTTCACTGCCCCTAAACCTGTCTGTTGGCCCCTCTCTTCAACCGTGTCCTCAGCTCCTTCTGTGCCTCTCTGATCCCACTCCTCTGTTCTAGCCCCAACTCCTTGGTTAAGCGATTCTTTCTTGGCTTCGTCATAACGTTCCTTCGCAGCCCTTGTCACCTTGTTCGATTTCTCCTGTGCTGTAGCTCTGACATTTGAAATTTCTTCAAGAGATGGTTGATATTGGCGAGACCCTATCTCACCCTCTTTCCCTTTTTTCTGTTCTGAGAGTCTTTGCTCCTCTCCTATTCGAGACCGTCTCTGCTCTCTCTCTTTATCCGCACGTGCTCGCCTCTCCCTTTCATTCTCTGTATCTGGCTCTCTCTTGTCTCTTACTTTTTCAGCAAGAGAGTCAAATTGAGCAGCCAATTCATGGGTATCATCTGGCTTTCCACCTCCAACTTCACCTTCTGCAATACTCCGTCTCACCTCTCTTCCCGTAAGTGCCCCTTTGGCTATGCTGGTACCCTGCGCCTCTTTTCCCCCGTCACTAGCCAATTCATGAGTTTTCTCTGGAGTTGCGGCTTTGCACTGCACTGCTATGGCCTCGAAGTGGCTCGTCAACTGTGGTACTCTCTCTTTCTCCACCTGAATTTCTCTTTCCTTCGTGGTGTTGTCTCTGCGGTTCAATTGCTCTGCTGCCATCCTTTTTTCTCTTTGTGGGGTTTGTATTGTTTCTATGTTTGAAGTAGATTTTGAAAATGGATGGAAATGGGTGTAAATAAGACAGAGAAAGGCGGTTTTTGGAAGAGAGGGTCTGCAATGGAGGAGGACGTGTCGGTGTTAACGGCCAGGTGGAATGGAAGTAGCCGACTGACTGAGGTGACTAAGCAACTCAGTTGACAGGTGGAGTTTTTCTTCATTTGCCACGTTTGATTTGAGGATAGAATTTGTTTCGGGGATTTCCTTGATTTCTTTCCAACACATTCTTACAGCCCCAAGATTCTATTTACCCTTTATGTTAGAAGGGGATTCTCGTCTCCTTTTGCTTACAGAGGAAGAAGGTTAGGTCTCGACTTTCCTTCGCTGAAAGGTTTGGCTCTACAAAATTCACAATAGTGTTCTTCATAGATGATCGTAGAAATTTAATGTTTAATTGATATAATTGTAAGTTTTTTGGAACGAAAATTGGTCAGAACATATATAGGATAAGTAAGTATTTGTGAGTGTGTTCCAAATAATGTTGGAAGAAAGTGATGGATTTAGGTAAATGCATCCCCCAATCCAATTCAACAAACAACAATTCAATTTACAATTACAAATTAAATTAATTTCTAATCCTTATTCTTCTTCTTCTTCCCCTGCGCATTCAAAAACGAAAACGAAGAACAAACAGAGATCTATGAATCGGTTTTTTACGATACTTTCAGGCAAACAGACGCGCGTACAATAGCTCGTTCCAGGTATCAGGCAAACCAGGAAGGCACCAATGGCTACAATCGGTGCCGCTGTGTTCCCCGCTGTATGCCGACGGATGTCCGTCCTTCCTGTACTGAGACAGAGTGGTGACGTCGAGGAACACCACCGGCTTTTTAATCCTACTCAGAACCTTGTTCACCACCACCCATGCCATCGGCGTCCCCGCCGGATACCTTCCTCCGAAGTAAGGCTCTGTTTCGCCGGAGCACGATCTCGCCGGCTGGCTCCAATCTCTGCCACTGAAACCAAATCCTCTCTCAGCCAATTTTCTATTAATCTTGATTCAAATCATTACAAGTACGGGAGTCACTTACACGTAATGGGTGGGGGAGATTCCCAGGAAGAAAACCTTGGTTTTAGAAGGATCCACATTGAGATTAACCCATCTGGCCCAAGTGGTGAGACCTTTGTAATAGGCTACATACCGGTTCATGTCCTTCACCACTTTGTTGCCGTCTTGAATGTAATCCCACCTGGTTGGTTCCCCATTTGAAACAAGAGTCGTAAGCACAAGAACTGAAGAAGAATTGAAGAAGAAGAAGATTTAGTTTGTAATTACTTACGGCTGGGAACTTCCAGTGTGAGTCCACCAGTGCCAAGTGTTGAAGACGAGCATGTCCATTCCTCTCCAGGCGTTGCCGCTCTGTATAGAGTCAAGTTTCAGAACGCGTCCGATCTTCTCGTTCACCATGTCCACCAGGTACGGCGTTCTGTACAGCCATAGCTCCACTCCGTAATCCTGCACTTTCATAATTTTATTTAATACATTTCTTAAAAAATTCTAAACAAATTTAATAGATTTAATTTTAAAATTTATTTATTAGCCGACTATTAACATAAATTTAAAAGTGGTATATGGGTGTGGAAAGTCTAAGAGCAAAAGTGGTAAAGTGGTATATGGGTGTGGAAAGTCTAAGAGCAAAAGTTCAAACAAAAGTTCAAATAAGACAATATCAACTAGTAGTGGGCTCAATGAGGAGGTTGAGTCCCAAAAGGGTAGATATGAGACGGTGTGCTAGCAAGGACGTTGGGTCTCGGGGGTGGATTAGGAGGTCCCACATCAATTGGAGAAAGGGAACGAGTGCTAACGAGGATGTTGTGGCCCGAAGGGGGTGGATTATGAGATTCCGTATCAATTGAAGAGGAGAACGAAACATTTTTTTATAAGGGTTGTGGAAACCTCTTCCTAGCCGATGCATTTTAAAAATTTTGATGGAAACGCTAATATCTACCAGCGCGGTAATAAATGGTAGGGGATGGCCTAAGAATAATAACAAACCAACTTTGAAGGAATGGATTGAAAGCTATGGTAACCACTTACGTTAGGTTATTTACTGCCCAATTAATAATTGGGTATGCCATTGCAATTATTTTCTTTTTTCCTCTAAATCCACATATTTTTCTATACCCACATTATAGTAAAAATAATATAAAATAATTTTAAAAAAAAAAAAATTCACACCCAGAATATTAAATCTTGTCTAAAAAATATATTATAAGTTATGAATAATCTATTAATTTTTTTTAAATAAAATGGGGAAAATTCAACATTAAATAAAACATAAACTAAGTTGGGGAATAAAAATTGAAGAAGGTCACAAGTTGTCAACCGCCAATCACGCTCCACTTTTCACTGACACAAAACCCTTTTATTAAATTTTATTTATTTATTTTAAATAAAAAACAATTTGATTTTTTCTCTTTTTACACACCAATTGTCTCACACAAACTTTTTTTAAAATTCTAATTAAAAATTGTAATAAATATTTAAATTAAACGTTTTCCCCCTTTTTTTTAAATATAATTAGTTGTCGTGACTTGTAATAATCACATTTATGCTCTGGATCTTGATTTACTTCACGAGTTTTTCATTTTTACAAATTAATTTTTTAAAATATGGATAAAACAGTTTTCTTGTTTAAAAAAACATCATTAATTTTATGAAAAAAAGACAAAAAAAAAAAAAAAAAAAAAAAAA